TCCTCATTCTGACAGTCACTTGCCTACAGTAGCTCTACTTGCTTACAATTCAGCACTGTCAGCCCCAATGCACTCCCCCTTGTCTTGTGGTCACAATCTTTCTCTGGCCACAATGACTCTCCTTTCCTGAATCTCATGGGACCTCCAATTGTCACTGGCACCAGCACCAGTGTCCAAAGAACCAGATCAGGTGAGAGTATGTGGATTAAGAAGGACACAATTCGGGTCATTTGATAGAAGCAAATGCCATTGGTTTATTTCAGCCAGCAGTTTATATACAAGAGGAGATGGAAAAACACCACCAGCTAGCAGAATGCATTCCCAAGCCCCATCATAAACGAGGAAACCACAACCCCCACCAATGGCCAAGGAAGCAATAAGGGGATGGGGGCAAGGCACAATGTTTCAATAACAAGAAAGGTTCATAACAGGATGTTAATGGGCAAAGGCTTAGAAAAACAGGAGGTACCTGTGGTTATGTTGGAAAACAACTCACAGAGACACCCGTGGGGGCTGGGTCCCAACACGTCATTTAAAAAAACAATTTTTTCCCAGTGTGCATTTCTAGCTTCTTTTATAAAAATCAGGTGTCTTTGTGTATGTGGATTTAAATCTGAGTCATCAATTGATTCAATTGTTCAATGTGTCTGTTTTTATGTCAATGCCATGCTGGTTTTATTACTATCTCTCTGTAGGACAATTTGAGGTCAGGATTGTGATAACTACCAGTTCTTCTATCCCTCAGCAATGCATTAACTATCCTCAGTGCATGTATTTCCACATGAAGCTGAAGATTTCCCTTTAAGGATCTATGAAGTACTGTGTTAATTTGATGAGGATTGCATTGAGTCTGTAGATTGCCTTTGGTAGGATGACCACTTTTAGTATACTGGTACCTTCATCAATTTCTATTTTCATAGTCTTAAAATTTTATTATATAAGTCTTTCACTTCCTTTATAGTGTCACCTCAAGTTATTTTATAATTCTTTTGAGGCTGTTGTGAAGGAATTGTTTCTCTAATGTCTTTTGAAGACAATGTCATTTGTGTGTAGGAAGGCTACTGATTTTTGTGTATTAACTTTGTACCAGGGACTTTGCCAAGAACTATAGGAGTTTGTTGGATGAATTTTTAGGGTCCCTATGTATTCAATCACATCATCTGCAAATAAAGGTATTTTGACTTCCTCCCTTTCTATTTGCATTCTCTTCATCTCCTCCAGTTGTCTTGTTGCTCTAGCTAACACTGTATTGAATAGGTATAGAGGGAAAGGGTGCCCTTGTCTTGTTCCTTATTTTAGTGGGATTGATTTGTTTCTTTCCATTAAATTGATGTTGGCTGTGTTAGACCCCCAGAAAAACTCAGGTATCCGGGATCCCAGGCCACGACCTCGGTCACCCCAATCACCAGGCAGATTCAAGAGCTTGATGCAAACTGCATGAGGCTTTATTGTTTTTTTTTTTTTTAACAAGCTAACCCCAAGTTAGCTCGGGTCTTTCACCCACCCGCCATGGCAGATGGCTCGCAAAGACACCTGGAACTGGCTGCAGAGTGATCTTGTAGGTCAGTGTAAGGGGAGTGTCTAGGGGTATGCACAGGCTCAGGATTGGTGTGCTTCCAGGCTTGGAGGGCTTGTCCTCTGTTGATTGGCCAATTGGTTGTTATGGCCCAAAGGCCCTCCCAGGGTGGTTGCTATGCTCTGTGAGTCATTGCTGTGCACTTGTCTGTAAAGCACACCAGGAGCCATAAAGCATAGCACCACCAGCTAACTTCTGATTGGTTCCTTGCCACGAGGCAGGTACCTAACCTCTAGTGACCAAGGCAAGGTCATAGCAAGCACGTGTTACTGTCATGGCTGCTGAAATGGGGGGCTGGTCATTTCATTCCCCCAGTTTCTTTTTTGGAAATTCTAATCATGGAATTACTGTCTCTCTAGTGCCCCCATCAGGGAATGAGAGATATTGGCATCCCCATGTAAGGGAGTTCCTTCTGAATTAGCATTTTAACCAGGGAAAATGGGCAGTGAATTCTTTCCCATGCTACTTCCTGTTGACTTTGGGACAAAGTTAGGGACCCCAGAAGGTTGAAATGATAGTCAAAAGCAAAAAAAAAAAAAAAAAAAAAAAAATTTAGGCAATGGGGAATCCATCAGGGGCTGTTGGCAGACTCTGTTGCAGAGACAGGGGGTGTCCACATCAGCTGGACTAGTTC